ATAAGAGCACTGTTGTAGCAGGACCTCAAAACAGTGGCCTGGCCTGGCTCACAGCTTGAATTGCATGTTTCTTTGGGGAAAAATGGAAAAGCCTTTATCACTGTGTATATAAGTAGATTAGGCCTTGTACAGATTATTTATATCTGAGAGATGTCTCGGCATCAGAAGAACAGAAAAAAGGGGGTGAGGTGGGCAGTGGGTACTAGGTAAAGAGAAACAGCCTCTACTGACCAGCAAGGGGGGACTGCTCTGTGTGCATTTGTACTGCTGTACTAGGTCACCGCCCCCCACCCCACACGCATGCCTTATGACTGGAATGATTACTTTAAAGAAAAAATTGTAGAAAGGTGCACAGTAGTGTGAAATAAATATTTTTATGCCCTGAAACAAAAAAGTGAAGACAGAATTATTTTTGAATTTTAGAAGTTTAAATTTAGAAAAGCTGCTATTCTTTGTGCTGACTCTTGGATACTACAGGAGGACTGAATTTGCTCTAGATCTTAATAGTAGTTATGTGGTTTATATTAAACATTAAATAACCATGTCTACTTTGCAGTCAAGGGCTTTGGGTGCTGAATGATAAAGTTTAGGTTTTCCCACCACTTGGGCGATTTTGGAGATGATTAGTCTAGAAATGATTTGGAAGTATAATTATTTGCTAGTTGAACTGAAAGGCTTTGAATTTTTCATTTAGTTCAATGTAAATATAAAAGAGGTTCCTTTAGAATCAAAAGTTGAAAAGAGTTTTTTAAAAAATTGCTCTAAATACCTTTATTGGAAATACCTCCTGAAATCACATTTTTATTACTAAAAAAGAAATTAGCCTGAAGAATTTGAGGGTACATAAACTTCTAGATTAAAAGGAACTTAACTGCTCAGGGGAAGTATTGCTTTTTCCTAATGTCACATTTCTTTAGGTGTAACACTGAGTAATTTAGATGTGGAAGAAGTGTCATACTATACATGACCTGTTTAAGTATGAATGAGAAGTACAGCTATGTTCTGACCCCTGACATTATCTACCATTCTTTAAAGTTTTTTTAAGCCATATGCCTCTGCTACATGAGTATCTGTGAGTGTGTTTGTATTGTGAATATGTGCATCTTTGTGTGTATAAAGTGATAATGAAAATTTATTGAGATTATTGTGATTAAAAAACAATATAAATTGAGATTACTTCTTTTTAGCAGAACAGTAGAGTCTAAAAGGTTGCTTAATGCAAACAAGACTTCCATAAACAAGACTATAGAATTCCTTAGAAGAAAAAATGCTTTATTTGGTAGGTTATTTTATTTAACATATTCTGATAGATTGGGTAATGTGGTAGGTATAATTTAGTAACTCAATTAATCCACTACTCCAAAAGTATGTGGAAACTAAGGGATGATTTAGTCTATGGATTCCCAGTCTTTAGTGTCCTAGGATTCTTCTATGAGAAATCCTGTGAAAAATAAACATAGGCTCTTGGCACACCAGTTTGTCCAACTTTTCTCTGTATCTGCGTTGATTTACACTCACTCCATGCTCCTTTTCCTCTCAATCACCTACACACACAGAATAAAGCTATGAACTGTGGTAGAGAGGATTGCAAACCTCTGTCCTAGTTGACTTTTCAATACTCCTAGACTATCCAATGATGAATAATAGTGATACTTGATAAGCTCATTAAAGCTGTTGCTTTTATTGGACATTGGAAAAAATCAAGTAGATGAAGGATCATTTCAGTAGCAACTTCCCTAAAGTTTAGGAAAGGTGACAATATATGAAACGAGAATTTTGTATTTCCATTTAAAGATGAATAGAATTGCTGTTATTATCTTGGACATGAGTTTTATCTGACATTCCTTAAATTTGAATACAGGAATTTGGATGTGAGCAATACTGTCATTTACATGCACACAAATTATAATGAGGACCATAGATGATGGTAGGAGGAAAGAGAAATTCTAGGTGATGGTAGGAAAAGAACTTGAAGGTTACAATGTCATAGTGTGTTGACGATTCAGATCACAAGATTTCAGGATGAACATTGAGCTCTTCCAGTCATATTATGTCTCAGTCTGCGGAACCCCATCACCATGTCCCACTACTTGCTCTTTCCATGGGATTCTGTGGCAGTAGTGGCCATACTGGTCTGGCAGGGTTACTCTTGACATTAAAGGTGTTAATTTAAGGTCTGTATAATTATCATATGCCATTTCCTGTCTCTGAGAAGTCACTTGGTTTCAAGTCTTTACTGAGCCTGACTTTGACCATAAGCAGTTCTGTTTGGCCTATGTTCCATTTCACTGGACATGCTAAAGAATAGACTGGTTAGGTACTGAAATGAAATTGAAAGGACTATATCTGGGTTATCATAAGGAAAGGCAATTGAACTGTTTGAATGTCAAGTTGGATGAAATTGGAAAGGAACTTATTATTGCTAATTGCATGTCCTCAAAAGCATAAATGTCTTTCTCTTTTTCATTCTTTTGCTTTCAACTTTTCCAAAATTAGGCAATGGAATCAATTTTAATTCGCTAGTCTTCCCAGGAAGATAACCAGACTGCTGCTTCTCTGAATTCTATGACCATGTCCCCGTGCAAAACAAGGAGCCTGATTCCCCTAGTGCCTGTAGCTCCTGGGTTGGGCACTTTCTCACTCAGACCTAGCAGATGGTGCTGCCAGGCTGGCCAGGAAGACCGAGTTCTGCTCCCTGAATCAGCTCCCCGGGGAAGCGAGCTCAGACAGAGGTGCTGGGAGGAGTTGGCCCAGGAATTGCTGGTTGGCAGGTGATGGCTCATGTGGAAAGACAAGGTGATGGGGGTAAATATATATCTTTGAAGGACCTATCGGCTTTATTAATCTGAGATGGTGATTGTTCCCTGAAGAGCTTTGTTTTAATATTGCGTAGGTGTATGTGTATGTCATGTATATTCTAGACAAGTACAGGGTTTTCAGATGTAGTAAAAATTGATAAAGACTGGGTCAATGGTAGGTTTATGGGTTATATTAATACTTTATGAAGACCCAGAATTACCTTTCAGGTTATGATGAGAAAGTTAATTGCCTTCACAGTCCTAGTGAGCATAGGATATTTAGATGAAACAGAAGTGGAAGGAAGACAGCAGGCCTGCCCATGACAGTTGGGCTCTCACAATAAAACTGAACAGAAAGGCTTTTTTCCTATAGAAAATTCTCCATAGGCAGTTCTCAATACAATGGCTCATAGTGGTTTTACAGTTTATACATGAAGAGCCCTCACAGTCAGCTTGCCACAGGACTGTCCCTGTCTGTCATTGTGGGGCTCCACCTTCCCCTGCGGGGATGTTCTCAGACGAAATACAGTCCTGGAATTCCCCATTAGAATCCACAGTCCATTTTCCCATAGAAGTGCATGGTTCTACTGGGTGGCTTGACCTCCTACTCTGACCTGGGGACCCAGGCACCCTATAGAACATTATTTCTATTAAGAAAAAAAATGCAATCTAAGCTCCAAAAACTGACTTTTAAAAGGAGTACAAGCTTTTGGACACTGGAGGTTGCCTATCTGCCAGGCTGAATGGAATTTCATATCACCATTAAAAATGAACCAGATTGTAATTATGACTTTGGACATGGCTCTTTATCTGACACTCCCAACATGTGAATAAGGGACTTTAGATGTGCACAGTATAGTCATTTACATGCACAGTGCTAGCTGGCTTGCTCTTTCCTCCACGTTTGTTTTCTCCATATTCTATGGAGGGTTGAGGCTGGGACTAGGGTTGTATGGAGGTAAGCACTGTTGCTAATAGTGTTTGCTGCAGTGGAGTACCTGCTAGGTCAGTGAGCCACATGCTTAGTCATTAAGGAAGATGTTTTAAGGAAAACTTTAAAAAAGAGAAGGGAGCTTTTCTTTCAAGATTTTTGTATTTGTTATTTCAAAAGATAAACATTAAAGTGGTCATCTTGGGAGAAATAAGAACTTTGCAAGATGCCTCTACATGTATTTTCAGCTTTGGTACTGATTTTATTTTGAATTATCTGTGGGAGAGGAGGAATATACTTTTGGTGCTCAGGCCTGTCAGGGTCTCCAGTTGGCCCTGCACAGGCCGGGAGTGAGGGACCCTGGGGACTCCTTGGTCCAGTTTTGCATGGTGCCCCGGTGGTGACAGCGCTGCACCCGCCCAGCGTGCAGACTAAATGCATGAGCCCCCTTGCTTGATGCCCCACATGAAGCCAGACCATGGGGAGGTTGCGACCAACTTTTGTTGTTGCCTTGCAGTGTCTTGCTAGTTCTTGCTTTTCTCTTTTGAAACATAGGAGCCACTTTTTAGGAGACTGGACACTGAGAGCAAGGGATTTTTAACTTGCTTATTTCAACTAAGCTAAACTGCTGTGTTTGCTTAACTAACCCCATGACTGTGTCCACTCTCCTTGGAGTGTCCTGTCCTACTGTGCACTCTGGTTTCCAGCTTCATGGTTCTGCAGAAGTGCTTGTTCTGCAGCACGGTAAGAGCTCACACACCCAAGGCAGGAAGGCAGTGGAGTGGAATGAGGCTTTTGCCATCTTGGCAAAGGCCAGTCCACTTATAAGAGAACTCTCAAGTCCTGGAAGGAAGCAGGTCTAAGACCTTCAGGGTTTTTCTTCATTCTCCTGATAGGCACCTAAGTGCAGGAGTGCTCCCTGTAATAATTTTCCTCTAGTCAAAATGAGCCCTATCATTTACTTCTGAAATAAGAGACAAATTGAGCGGCTGAGGCTTCTTTCCAATGACTTAAAATGAATAAACTTGAAGCTTCTTTTGGGTCCTTACAAACAGAGATACCTAGTGGAGAGGTACAGCCATTCAGAAGTATGAACTGTGCTGTGTTTCAGTTTCAAGTTATGTTGGAAAAACCTGCCTCTGTGTGAGTTGATTACTTTGCTCTGGAACTAGTGTTGTTGTCATTATCATCACCCTTCTCTCATCACGACCTGATTAATATTGTGGATTTTTCCCCCTCTGCTTGCATCTTCTTTTGATGCGCTCTGGAAGAAATGTCAAGAAGAGGAGGTTCGATCCTACTCAGCAAGGACCCATCTGAGTCAGCGGCACTGGGTGAACGGGGCCTTGCACTGTTGGATTCTGGGTATGACAGGCTTTGCAGCAACGTTGCCGGAACTGTTCTGTCTGTAAACAAGACCGCTGGGTGGTAATGATACAGAACTAGAGTTGGGGTGGCAGGGATGGGGTAAAAGAAAACCTTCCTTTTTGGAAATAATTTCAAAAAGCTCCTCCCACCACTTGTCAATAAAAAGGGGCAAAGGACGATGTCCTATGAAGAACTATTTCAAAAAAATTTTTTTTCTAACTGAAGGAAGAAGGAACAACAAGAATTAAGTGCAATAAAAGAACCATTAAAAAATAGCAAATTATTTTTTTCTTTCCTGGGCCTGCTGGCACTTACTGTCTTCTAAATGATTTGGCATGACTTTTTTTTTCTTTTCCTACCACTGACACACCCCAAGTGGCATGAAGATCTAATTTTTGAAAGGGTAAAATCTGCATGGCATATATACAACAAGCAGCTAGCAAGCGAATCCGCAGCAAACCTGCAGCTGGCTTCCCGAGGTGAAGACGGCAGATGGGCAGGCCATCTGCCTGGCCCCCACGTTCTAGTCTGCACCAGGCCACGAGCACTCTGCGGACCCCTGCTCTTGTTGACTCACTTTCCCATTGTCTTTTCTCCTAGACTGAGCATCTTTTGGAAATGGGAGCTGGAATTTGAACAATGATGCTATTGTTCTTTTATAAATGTAAATATGGAAATAAGAGATTTTGACACCTCATTTTCACTTGTCTGTATTGAAATATTTTTCTTGTAAAGGTTCTCTGTAAATTTGAGTTTATCATTTGCTCCCCATCATTTTGGTTTCTTTCCTCTATTTCTTTCTCTGTCTTTGTCCTCTTGCGTAACATGTTGTACAATGTTTGTTGGGCTTGCTTAAAACAGACAGATGTAGCCGCAGATGCAGGGTGTGTGGGCACAAACCAGATGCGATTTAAAAATGAGATGCTTGAATGAAATGAAATGCTGGAAACCAAAAATAAACAAAGGGGAGGGGGACACAAACGACAAAATAACCCATGTGAAAAATTAAAATTATGTAAATGCACATATATGTACCGACAATTCTCTAAAATTTTTTGATGTCGTTACAAACCTGTGTATATAATCTAAGAAAGTAGACACCCTCTCAGATTAATCACAGAAGTGCCAAGCTCATGATTTTTCATTTTTGGCTTTGACAATTTTCTCTCTGTCTTTCATGTGAAAGGAGGATCAACTTAAAGCCTTAAATTAAAAAAATAATTTTTAAATGTTGACAGCTTGGGGGAAAACTTCAGCTTTCCATTCATATCTATCGTTAATATTTCATCTGTGCTTCATCTTCCAGCCTTGAAATACACATGGCAGAACCCCACTGTAAAGCGGGTAGTGGGGATAGAAACAGCAGTTGCCATCTCATGAGCATGGTGACAGGCTTCCTTGTTCGGCCCACAGCGCGTTGGTGGTCTGTGGAATGTTTTCCTGGGTGAGGATGGGATTCTGTCACACCCAGACTCTCCTTCTCCCTCCAGGCAGGTTTGTGGACGTGATCTGGGTTTCCAAGTCCCTTTCACTTATTGCTTGTTCCACTGATGGTCAAGATAGTTTCCATTCAAGTGTGGAGCATAGACATTAATAAAGAATTTGGTCCTGGCTTTGTTTTGAATGCAAGAACTTGTATATGATCCCTTCAGGTGGCATTCTTCCAGAGTAAGCTTTACTGAAGGCCCCCAAAGAGCAGAAGAGGACACACGACTGTGCAATTCACTTCATGGCAACCAAATCAGTTGCTAGATTTAGCATTAAGTCCCTTTTCAGCAAGATTCATGACGCTAACCTCACAATTTTGGGGTTGACTTTGTAAAGGGTTATGTCCTTGAACTGTATGGCTTAAAACAGTGCGGTTTTCCAGATGTCTTTAATTGTGGAAGTATCACAGTCACAGAGCAGAAACCTAATTTCCATAGGCTGCCATAGGCCACACCCTAATATCTTCATCCTGTTACTGCTTTCTGAGAACTAGGTGCTACACGAGTATGCAGTCTTTCTCTAGAACTAGCTGTGTGTTTATATTGCAATAACAGGGCTATCTACAAGGTTTATCAGCCTTACTCTTGGTTTCATAAGACACAGGTTGTATCTCCACCTGGTGGAAATAGCTCTTTCAGCTTGGAGGAAACTCAGATGACTTGGCATCTCTTCTTGTCACTGCATTGTTTATGTCTCTCTCGCTGGATCCTACTCCCTAGTTGATTCTAAGCTGCCGCTCAGTACACCATACACATTTCACTGCTCTTTGAGAGGCACCACGGTGACTTAATAGAAACAAAACCATGGTGGTTAAAAAACAAGTTAAATCTCTATTATTAACTTCTGAGCATTTCACAAACAACATTGTAAATGTGCGATGTTATGTTTTAAATCAGACCACAGTGGTCCCCAAATATTATGTACATATGGCAAATGTTAGTGTAACTTTTTGTTACACTGGCAGTTTCATAGGTAACCAAACCTATGCTCCAATATTAAATTATTTGTGTGTATATGTAAAATACACAAGCTTTAAGCTATGTGTGTATGAATATGAAAGATATTGCAATCATACCAATCGTCAACAATGGATTCTAATTATTTTTGGTGGTATTAGGTTACGTAGTTTCAAACTCTGCTCTATTTTCTCTTGCACATGCCATTCTTTTTTGTGGTGTGAATACTTTGTTATTCATTTGAGCTCAAACCACAAGCATATCACTGTTTAATGTTACCCAACAAGAGTGTTAAGTGATGACAAGTTCCCATTTCACGTGCTCTACTTTTGCTGCATTAATTAACAACACCTGGATGAGGAGACATGCACTAACTTCATTGCTCATCTGGGACACTGCATGAGCCCACTGAATTAGAGCTACTCCTATTAGATAAACGAGCAGTACACATAGGTGCATGTTATGAAACATGAATCATGTAGAGCTGTGCAGTTTAACAAGTGATATGTGTGGTTTTTTGTTTTTGATTTTGTTTTTACTATGCAAAGATGGGAAATGCACAAACCTCAAAGACAGTGTCTGAATAACTTTACAAACAATACTTGAATCCTTTTGTTAACATCACCCCATCATATTTTATAGTCATTTTTGCTTCCATTGTTAATTTTCATTTTAAAATGGTTTGTAAGTTTTGTTTCAAGTTAATAAATTCATTCATAACCTGTTGGCTGCCTATGAATGGAGATTCAGTAGTCATTGTATGCAACTTTTAGTAAGGTGTGTATTAAAACTTTTGGTCACATAGAATGTTGTAGCTTTATACTTTGGTGATCTTTCTTAAGCCCTTTTACTGTGTTCTCTTACATTGTTGATTAAATGGCCATGTGTCTGATATCATCAAGAGCTTTAGCACATGTCTCTCAATCAAAGGCTCACTGATGATTCAGTGGAGCAAAACAAAATCTCTGATTAATGATGAGTTAATCCTGATTAGGACTCAGTCTCATTGGATTTGTTGGAAATGCTTTGCTTCTTGTAAATCAGAAGGAAAAAACCCCCACCTTGGGATCCTACCATTATCAGTTTCTTTTGTTTATTATATCTTCTGAGTTAAAAGGGGGATGGCTAGTAATAACATCCACACTTCTGACCTGGTACCAAATTTAAAATAAAGCTATAAAGAAAGTAGATGTATTTGGTTACACAGAAGTTGTGTTATCAAAAACATTCAAAGGAAGGCATTTCCTCACACTTCACATGGAATTGATCATCAAATGATACTCCTTCTTCATACATGTCTTTCGGTATTTCTCTCCATCCCCACTGCCATGCCTCAGTTTGACCTCAACAGCACAAATAAGTCATATATCTACTGCACAACACAGAGAGGTCAATCTGACCATATCATTCGTCTGATGAAAAGTTTGCAGGGCTCCTCATTTCCCTATAGAATAAAGTCTGAACTTAAAAATGTGCCTTAAACTTTGACCTGCCTTTCTTGACCTCAGTTGTGCTTATGTTTCTAGCCTTCATTGGCTTTTAGTCTCTCATTATCACACTACTGAAGGTTCCCCTCAAAGAGCCTCCTTTACCCGGGCCTGAATAATCTTATGTAAATTCTACGTTCATTCACCATAACTCATTTATTTCTATGTCATTTCATGTAAGAAGAGAAACATAGAAATACTTCAAAATAACCTGAATATTATACTGTATGCATATAAATTGAAGTATAGTTGATATATAATATAATACTGGTTTCAAGTCTACAAAATAGTGGGGACTATTACAGCTAAATAAGAAAGCATATTAGAGTGTCATTTATGCTTGCCTTTAAAAGGACAGTCTGCTTTTTTTATAGGTTTTCCTGTAAGTCTCTGTTTTTGAGGTTGCTTCCTTGGTAACTGAGAAAGGGGACCCCCAAACCAAACACTTTGGAAATAATAGAACAGCAGCCCTAGAGTTAAAACTTTGACATGAAGAATTAAGTAGATAATCCATATGCTTATGATGGAATTCCTCAAGTAACGTTTGAAATTTAAGATAGGCATCCTGTAGGTTAATGTGCAAGCATTAGGGACTCTGCTCATTAATTTATTCATTCAACAAATACTTATCAAGGAACCTCTCCGAGGAATTGAAAGAACAAAAGAAAATTCTTAGCCTAAAGTAGCTTATGATTTAGCAGGGAGGGACATGTAATAATCGTGATAAGCAGAATCATGAGCAGGAGTAAAAAACTGACGTGGGGCAAGTGGGAGAGGGAAGCAGGATGAAGTGAGTTTTGAACTATCTTGAAAGATGACACGAGGTCACCGGTCTAATAAAGTGGGAAACACACTCAAAGCACTGGAAGCAACATGTGCCAATGCCCACAAAGAGGAGCTCAGACCCATGGGGCAAGTGATGCTAAGCGAGCCTGTGCTTCCTTCCATCCTCCCTTCCTCCTTTCTTTCCTTCCCATCCTTCACAAATACGTGATGTGCAAAAATCCTACAGCATGGTGCCAGGTCTCAAGGACACAATGACGAGTCTCCATCATGTGAGCAAGGTGCAACAAGTAAATATAATGTGGCAGCACCCTGATAGAGGTAAGTAATTAGATGCTTTAGGAGATGAGAAGGAGACTATCCCTGTTCCTGAGATCAAGGAGGGTTTCACAGAGGATGTGGCATTTGAGCAAAAGGCTGTGCAATTGGACCTAATACCATGATCACTTATTGTCACATTAATTGGGCTCATTTTGGTCGGTGGAAATCTACTCACAAATGCCTTAGAAGAACTACCTGCAATTCTCAGTCTTATTTTCGACTTTTATATATGGATTCCTTTCACTTGTGTGAAGATTATTATTATAAGATTATTATAAGATTATAAGATTCTCTATCAGAACCTTATATATTTTTATATTTTCCTACTGATGTGCTTGTTATGGATCAGTCTTAAATGTTCGGGGCTGCCAGTAAGGACAAAGAGGGCTTCTTGTCCTGACTTGTAAGCCTCTAATTAATTCTCTTAGCATAAAGATCTCTAGCTAATTTCAGTCTGGAGTGAGGGGGTGGAAAGAACCATTAATGTTTTTAAAGCATCATTTAGTAAGTCCTTCAATTAATGAAGGGTCAAAATCATTTCCCAAATGCATTTGCACTTCCGGTCCACTCAAGTTGGTGTTTATCTGTCTTTTATGCCTTAGAGAGAAGGTTACCATTCCTCAACCTTTCAGAAACCTATTAGCAGTTCTGACTCCCTGACTAGAACATGTCCTTGGCTATGTCTATGGCTTTTGGAGAGAAAACAAATGCCAAAATCCCTCATTACCTGAAAATAGTTGTCCTTCTGGGACCTATTGATGCTCCTTTGACAGCTGATTGCATGTGCACACACACTTGCCCTGATGTGGCTGCAAAGACTATACTGGTGAAGCCACCCAGTTCCCCCTTAGGAGAACATTCATCTGACTGATGATCATTGAAAGTCAAATTAGCCCAGTAAATCGATTGGTCCTCTAAAAACAAAGCAAAAACAAAAAAACACTTCATCCTGAATGACCAGGAGTATATCAAGAGTTCTTCAGATGTCTTTGGACTTTAAATAGCTTCCAGCCTTTAGGAGGTAAATAAGCTTGCAACAGAGCCCCTGGCTTCCTCAGGCCCCGGTCTCAGGGTGAAGACAGAAAAAGGTACCTTGGATTGTACATGACATCAGAGAAGGCTGTTCTGCAGCAACAAGCACAACAAGCACAATGTACAGCCACTGTAACTCCCGAAGAGATGGCAAGTGGACTGCATGAAGTAGGTTTAAGCTGCATTTCCTATGTAAGTGAAATGGCTATAAAGCAAGAGTGAAAAAACCTAATGTCTGCAGGAGCCAATCACCAAAATGAGCAGAGCAGTGTGGTACAGATGATATGAGGGTGAGGCACACTGCGCTGAGCTGGAGAGCGCACACCCTGTCTCTACCGAGTGCCAGCCAATTGTCACCACATGGAAAATTGGGCCCTTCATTTCCCATTCCATTAATTTTTCTAGAGAAGCCAGAAATCCAGTGTACATATAGTATATAATATTTCCAGTTTTTCAATGGTGCAATCAATTCATATTTTAAAAACACTGTGTGTGTGGATCAACACAGTGCAATCAGAACCTGTCTCAGGTAGGACTGGGCTTCCTGGCCCCTGATATATTAACATCAGCATTTTCACATTTGGCCTCCTGAAATCTTCTCATATCTCCAGTGAGTACACAGATGTGGCTTTGCTCCCAGGCAGGGTGGCAGGTTGCCATGTGAAAAGTCATTCAGACCTTCTTGCATGAATCGCCACTCACAATGTTGACTTACTGTCATTTTATGTGGACAAGGAGCAGCCACTGAAAGCCATGCAATATCAAAGGCAACTCCTTTTGGTGGAGCTTCGTGCACTAAGCTTATTCAGATGTGCTTATTATAGGGATTAACAAACCTGTGCTCGCAAACAGGCGTTGTCTTCATGCTCATTGCTCAGTGCTAGTGAGGCTTCCTCTCCATGCTCACTCAGGTGGCTCGGAGGCTGCACGCACCCACCCTAAACCTTGTCTACCACCCGTTGAAGAGTGCTGTGCTTGATTATTGATGTCTGCTACCTGGCAACCAGAAGGACCTGACTAGATGCACACAAATCTTGAAACAGTCTTTCAGCCTTTAACTCTCAAGGCCAATTGGATTTAGGGGTGAACCAGCCAATCTAGCTAACCTAAAGGACCCTATGTAATTTTCTAGATTCAGGGAAGTAAGGAAAGGATTGTTGAGCAAAGAAGTGCAGAATCTGAGAAATCCAGCAGGACAGAACAACCCAAATTTTTATTCAAAAAAAATTTTTTTTCTTATTAATTATGAAAATTACATGTCGATTGCAGATAATTTAGGAAACAGAAAAATCTAAAGAAAATTAAAATTACTATAATCTAATTAGCAAGATGTAACTGCCATTGTACTTTGTTAATTTCTTCAACCTTTATTTTGTTTTTTCCCACCACAGCCCACGAAAGGTAGGTAGAAGTGGTTATCTCTGCAGATCTGCAGTTCCATTCCCCTTCTCATCTGTGTGTGTGTGTCCTAAGTGACAGCCTCTATGTTCTACTGGCTCCAGAAAAGGATGGGACCGTTGGATCCCTAGAGCTTAGAAGTGCTTTCTGGCCTCTCGGCTTTAGCTCAGCCTGTTTCCTCTGCTGGGAAGACTTCTCCTCCTTCCCATAGTCCACATCAAATTCCTGTGCATCCCCAAGTGTCACTTCAAATATTACCTTCTTTACAAAGTCTCTCCTGATCCATACACAGCCTTCTAGGTAAGTGTGGAGAATGCAGGAGCTCCAGTTAGTGGTGGAGCTGGGATGAAACCCCAGGTACTTTAGGCTCCAGAGTCTGTGCTCTAACCACATCACTCTATTGCCCCTCTTATTTTCCCATTCCCAGAGTTGAAGAAGTTTAATCCTTCCTTGAGATCACCATTCTATTAAGTGTCAGGGCCAGACTCAGGATGCAGACAGACCAATTTCTGGATCCTTTGCTGAACCCAAGAGCACATGGAACATAGCATATGTGATGCAAAAACGAACCTTGGAGAGAATCATGGCTGCCTATCTCAGTGGGTTGATTTTATTAGTGCTGCTGGAGCCACTAATCATTGCCACCCTGGGAGACAGAGAGAGTCCAAGTTTAAAGGATCTGTATTGTGAAAACTTCACTTTCTGAACATTAATTCTAACCTTTTGTTAGAACTAGAAAGAGAGAGGATAGCAAGACTGATGGGAAAGGCTAAAAATGTATCCCTATGGCACTCCACGTGAGAGGTAACACATTAACCAGCTGGAAATACCTGCAGCACCTGAAATGAGAGAAAAAACAAGAGACCTTTCGATCCCCTCTGATGAATGAAATTGCTTTCTGTTACAAAACTGAAGAGTGAAAAATGATAGTAATGCCACTTTCAATCCCATAGTAAAAGAACTGCAATGAGTAAAAAAGAAATACAAACACCTATTAAATAAATGATCTTTGCTACATCTGTTGTGTCAGAAAAAACGATACCCAGATGCTGCTCTGCAGGATATTACA